GCGGGGTCGGTGCGTTGAGTACAGTCGTACATGTGCAGCAGGCTTTCCTGAGAAGGAGAGGTCCTCGGCGTCGACCGCGCGCAGCCATCCCGCAGCCCATCCTTGTACGCTGTCGTGTCCATCTTCGCTTGCACGCCAAAATAAATGAATAATCCCAACATTTCTCTCCCCTTTTTTTTCTTTCCCTCCTTGGACACTGCCTGGCCTCAACGCACACGCTCTCGTCGTGGCCCTTGAGATGTCGGGCTGCTGGTGATGGAGGTGATCATTGGCGCCGCCGTGGACCTCGTTTCTAGTGTGTGAGCGGCCGCCACAGGCTGTCGATGGCCGCTGGCCCAGCTCCAGCCCACAAGTCGGAGAACACGCGTGTCGCTTCCTAGCCGTTGCGTTCAACACCACGCGGCCTTGCTTTCACCACCGCAAGGGAGCGAGGTCGTGCTGAGCGCCGACGACGATTTCTTGTTCGTGGTCTCACTCTTCCGCCCATCAGCGCCTTATTCTACATCACTAAGAAGGCCCAGGCGGGCAGCCGCAAGCGCGCACGGGGGCCGGGAATGATCGCAGCGGCGGGGCCGGGTGTCACTTTCTCGTGGGCCGAGGCCTGCGTCCGACTCTGGTGGTGGTGCACGTACTCAGCCTGTAACTGAACCACGTAGCGTGACACACAAGCACGCAATAAGAGATGCGTACACACATACTGGCCACGGAGTAGTCCTCCGACCAGGCGGCTCACCTTCGCCAAGATCGACGACGCAAGGCACTTCGGAAGGAGTGAATTACCACCCTCTCTCCATGACCAAATACCCAAAGGCCTTGTTCCCTGCTGGGTATTTTGTGCCCCTACTCCTTTTTTCAGCTGACCCCTGGAAAAAGGAAGGCCTGCCGCTCTCCCCTTCTTCAACAACCAACTTTGTAGAAGCACAACCCCAACTACATCGTGATGGAAAAGGATGCAGGAAATATAAAGATGTGGGCAACCTACTCCACCGAGAACTGCCGCATGCCGGTAGTGGTTCCTCGTGATGCTGACCCGCATGCAGCAGAGACAAGGACTTCCGTCATGGAGCAAGTCAATGCCAGCCTCATCGCCAGGGGACTCATTCACGGCGACAGGATGCCTCTCATAACGATGTTTAGCGACTGCGAAGAGCTCGACGATGTCCGTTCTACCTCGTGCATGCAAGGGAAGCTACGTGGAGGGTTCTACTCGTTCCAACTCTGCGACGTTGACATGAAGGCGGTGGCGCCTGCAGATCGATTGCTTCGCGATGCGTACGTGCTTGTGCTTCACTTAGTTCGGCTCATGCTTTGCTAAGCTTCGCCCACGCATGTCTATAGCGTGCTGGAATCAGGGGAGCTGGAGAAGCACGTGCAACGGTACCGATCAACCTGCTTTGCACTTAACAGGCCGTCATTGCTTGGGTTCTTAAGCACTACTCTACTCATGCACAGAGTCAAGGAGCTGGAATTGAGAGAGAAGAAGGCCGATGCGGAGCGCGAGCGCGAGAGGAAGAAGGAGGCGAACGCCAAGTCCCAGCGTGAGCGCGAGAGGAAGAACGCCAAGGCCAAGCGCGAATCCGAGGAGAGGAAAAGGGATACGGAAGCCAAGGGTAGGCATGAGGAGCTCGAGGAGAAGAAGATAGAGGAAGAGGCCAGGGCGAAGCGTGAGCTCGAGGAGGCGAAGCGTGAGCGCAAGGAGAAGAGGAGGGAGGAGAAGGCCAGGGCGAAGCGTGAGATTGAGGAGGCAGAGCGCGAGCGCAAGGAGAAGAGGAGGGAGGAGAAGGCCAAAGCGAAGCTTGAGTTCGAGAAGAAGATAGAGGAAGAGGTCAGGGCGACGCAAAGCCAGAACGGCGTCATCAGAATAGGGCTGCGCAGAATGAGGGACCACCTTGCTGCCATGCACCTCACCATGGAGATCCTGCTGGTCAGTCTGGACGACGGCGTAGTCCAAGCCGAGGCCAGCGCCTCGGCTGAGGTAGAAGCTCACTCCGGAACCGAAGGCGTGGCGGCCTGCGCACTCGAGTGAGCCGGCAGCTGCCGGAGCCGACCATGGACGGAAACAAGCAGTAAACGCATCTCTCTGTACAGCTCTTTATATCCAACACAAATCGAGAGTTTGCTGTTTACACTCTTTCACTATGTTGCGTTACGACACACGCACACGCACGCGCGCACACACTCATAGCGTGCAGCGCACAACTCTGCTTACTTGTTCCGCGACCGACAGGCGTGCCCAGGGCTTGCTCGATTGGCTTGGTAAAAAGTTGGTCCTCAAAGACTCTCGTA